ACAATTGGTAATTTCTAAATTGGGCTTCAGCTTCGTCAGTGCTAACATAGCGAAAATCATCTCCAAGAGGAACAAGAAGAGTATTTGTTCGGTATAAAGTAGATTTCTTCCTGTATTGGTCCAGTAATTTAAGTGCCCTCTCCTGAACATTTTCCCGGGTGACCTCTACAGGGTACTGTCCCCATGGACATAGTTCATAGATAGAACCCCTTGTGCGTGCAAAGTCAAACTGACAGCATATAGCAGGCTCTGGACCACATGTATGGGGTATATCATATGAATAAAAGGGCATCATATGGACAAATATATCAGTACTTTCCTCAGCATCCCAGCTTTGACGCCATGTATATTCTAAATTTTTATGCCATGCAAGTTCCTTCTTCAGCTCATAATGGGTCCTTTGGATAAGCATGTTGTCAAAACCCATACGTCGTAGAATATATGCCATGGTAGATGAGTAACCAAATGGATCTATGGCCCAGGAATTTTTGGGAACAAACCCAACGGTTTCATTCAACCATGAGTTTCCTTCTGTCATCTGATACAAAATTGTCCAAAATAAAGACAAAAAAGACTAAACATGTATTAATAACAGTTTCTCATATAAACTCCTGATGAAATATATAATCAAATTTCAATGTGTCATTTCTAGTATTCTCAGGAAAAAACATTTTTCCATACAAAAATTTTACTATACTGCTGGGGGGGGGGAATCATTTCCAACTGCTAAGGGGGGGGGGGGGGGAAGAAATCATTTCCAAGGCATGCAAGACAAAATGTGTCAATAGGAATTCTCAAGATCATTTTACTATCCAACATAAACCGTGAGGCAAAACAATTTCAAGAAAACCCGAAAAGCAATGCAGCCAAGGGTTAGCATAGAGAAAGCCTTAGGCATACCTGTTCAATTATAGCAAAGTAGTGAGAATTTGCCTGCATGAAGGGGAAAAAAATTAAACATGAGCCAAATTTTCACAAACATACCATTGGATCCAGCGCAGGCAAACTTCATGAACAGGGAATATTTGTAAGGTAACATTGAAAAAATATTCCAAACATGAGTACAATTGTAGAAAACGAATTTCATTAACAGAAGGATAAACTCAAATGCCAAATAGCCTCCGTTTTGTAAACTTTAAGAAAGGTCTCAATTTAATTTTTCACCCATGTATGAGCATCTCCTTTCTGGTAAAAAAAAAAAAATTCTGGAGTTACAGCATTACCTCATCGTTCATCACCCAGCCACCTCCAACAATTTCTAATTGTCCATTTTTCACTAAATTGATGAATGCTTCCTTCATTTCATCGGCTGCATCCCTAAACCATCTCTCTAAGTAAGACATTTCTTCCCAAATGAACTTGCGACGATTATCCTGCACATCCGGCTCTCAATAATTCAGTCCATATGATAGTTCAAGGTTGATGCCTAATAATACTATTAACAGAAGTCCAAAAACAATCTAACCAGCGGACAGGCCTAAACTCGAAAGTTTCCCCTGCATTTAAAATATACTCAAGGATACGTGAACGACTCAACTGTGAGGGAAACAAGGTTAACGGCATTTTTAATTTTTGTTATCTCATACAGCGCACCTTTACCCGTAGTGCAACTTTGAAGCGGTAAGTTAACTAATGTGATCAAGAAAATTCACGCCCCTCCTTCAAACTCATACACAAACGGAAAAAGAAAACTCAAAAGAAAAAAAGAACAAGAAGAGTGATTAGATTTTACCTTTGAAAGTGTTTCCACAATGGTATCAAGTATATGACGAGATTTCAGTTCATAGTACTCCTCCACAGTCAGCTTCCAACCGGGATCATTGTGGGAATGGGGTACCACGAAAACCTTCAATTTTTCGGAATCCCACTCGTTCCCTGTATAGGATACTTTCCAACCTTGCTTCCAAGCCCCACCATCCACATCCAGAAATTCAATCTTATCATACAAGTCTTTGGTCGTGATGTCGACACTAGCAGCCAAATGGGAATAGTTCCCGCGGTTAGCCAATATTGATCTCCGTTAACATTTTTCCGGTAACGAGATGCGCGGTATCTGAAGTGAGAAGCGACAGGTCTGGGGACCCCAAACCGAATGAGAACGAATATAAAGAAAAGGAGGCAAGAAATAAGGCCAATCGTGAAGAAATTAGCAAGGAAGAAATCTTTGACAGCGGCTCGCCTGCGTGCCTTTCTAGGTTGAAGCTTGGATTTGGGGTTTGAAGACGATGGAAGCACAGATTGAACCCAGGTTCCACGCCTTGCGTGGTTAATGTAGGAAGAGAAGGGCATGAGTTTATGCCACGAACAATAAAAGCTTCGGAAAATGCTAGTTTCTACTTCGGTTTGTACCTGTGATCATATCAGATTTGTTGGAAGAAGATGGAGGGAGGGGAAAAAGATTACTCTTCTTCCCTTTTTATGTATTTTAAGAAAAGGTGTTTTGCGCTCTCTCTCTCTCTCTCACATCTCTATATTATATGTATGTGTATATACTTTTTCGGATTTTAATATAAGATCTATTTAATTAATTTGATTAGATTAAAAAGTTAAGTAAGTTAGTCAATTATAAAAAATATGACACGTTTTTTTTAAAATACCATAGTCATCTTCCTTAATACCCTATTTTCCTCTTCTACTTGATTATGGTTAAGGGAGTATCTATATAGGTAATTAAAAGAAAATTGATAAATATAAAAAATGAGTCTTATATTCAGAACCAAAACTAACTCAACAATTGAGTCATATATTAAGGATCGGAGAAGTATATACTTTTATGCTTACATACCGCAAGCTTCCGTCTAATTACGAGTGAAACGGAGTTACCAAATAAATGTGTGTTTGGATTAATAGTGATAAAATTAATTTTTATTCTAACTGATTTTTGTAAACTAAAATTAGAATAAAAATTAGTTAGTGTAATGTTATTCAAGCAGGTCAAATAGAATTACACTTCCAAGGTTAAAAAAAAAAAAGAATTCCAATTCCAATTTCCAAAGGTTCTTGTGCCCAAAACTATGTTTTATTCTATTATTAAGGAATCATCAACGTCAATGGCTAAAAACAAAAACAAAAAAGGAAAAGAAAATCACCAAAAAAAAAAGGAAAATTGATATTCAGAGCTGCTCTTCGGGTATTAGCGGGTGGCTAGACAGGTCGTATAATATCGATTTCACATGCAAACTGAAGTATGGATTTTGTAATCCTTACTAACACTCTTTACACACACACACACATAAAAGAAAGAATCCTTACTAATACTCTGAGTACGTGTTAATTTTATACTCTCCTGATTTTTAATATAGAACCTAATTATTAAGTTGACTTTGATCCTAAATGTAAGACATATTTATCATTTTATCGTTTTTTTTTAAATTGCTCTTATATATACTTTCTCAATTATAATCAAGTAGAAGGGGGAGAAAAAGTATTAAAAAAATGATTATGGTGTTTTAGAAAAAAAACATATCATATTTCTTATATTTAACTAGCTTTTATAACTTTTTTAATCTAATCAAATTAATTAAATAAGTCTTATATTAAGGACAAAAAGAATATCATTGATAAAATATTTTATTCATAACTTTTGACCAATTGTGTTAATACAATTTTTCGTCCATGAACTTTAGTCCTATTTTAAATGTAATTCTCAAATTTTAAGCATATAGTTTTAATCCTCTTAAATTTAATCTGCCTTAAAACATTAGTATTTAATGGTATTAAAATTGACTATACTGTCATAAATGACATTAAAATTGTGATATAGACTCACTAAATAGCATCTAATTAAATATTATGTAGATAAAAAAACATGTCCTTAAAATGGAGCGCAAAAAAAATTATACAAAAAGAAATCTCAAATTTCTCAAACAAATAACAAGGAAAAAGAAAAGGCTAAATCGTGGAACCAACCAAGAAAAATGGCAAAGTCGGAGAAGGACTTGCACTAGGTTTGTCGGAGTTGACTTGGCCGGGTGGGAACAAAAGTGGTTAGTGGCAAATGCCCTATTATTTTATTTTTTTATCCACTCAAAATCTAATTAGGTATTACTACCTCCGGTCTTTATTATAAAATCCTGTTTGACTTTTATTTTGATTCTAAATATAAGATTCCAATCCACTTTGTCTCTCATATTTATTTTTTTCCCCAAAATAGTCATTTTAACAATAATAGTTCTCGCCAATACACTTGATTAGCAAAGATATTTTAAAAAAGACAACACTTATTTAGGACAAATAACTAACTCAACTTACTTCTTTAATCTTCTCAAATTAGTCAACTGACTCTTATAATTAGGACCGGAGATAGTATCTAATAATTTCACATCACTAATTTAATTCTGTTTGTGACACTTCAATGAATTTTAACACAATTATATTTTCAGATGTTAACATTTTAAGATTGATTATAAATTTAAGGATTAATGTTTTAGGTTTGAAATTTGAAACACTAAACTCAGATTTTATAGACAAAAAATTATATTAAACCGATATAAAATTAGAACCATAAAGGTAATACCGTATTACACACAGTTTTAGCTAACGTGGGTCTAGCGCCACATCGATTCGATAAATGAGTAAATTCCTCACTCACCATAGATAATATTTATATATATAATCTAGATATCTAAGTGTATTTTTTTTTTGGCCACGTGTCTTTTTACGTAATACTACCTCCAATCTTTAATATAGGAGTTAGTTTGATTTTTAATTTTCTTAAATATAAGACTCTAATCTATTTTTTTATATTTATCTATTTTTTTCAAAATAATCCTTATAATAGTTGTACATGTGAAAGATTTCATTAAATAGTAGTTTTAGTTAATATACATGATTAGTAAATGTATTATATAAAAAATAATATTTATTTATTATAAATAATCAACTCAATAATTTTTTGCTCTTCTAAAATTAGTCAAATGGTACTCTGCCACAAAAAAAAAAATCACAGCCATGGGCGAGTCTGTTAACTTTTTGGTAACGATGAGAGAATATTTTTATTTAGAGAGTTGCAAAAATTTATTTTGGTCTTCAAATAAAATTTTAATCTACTTTATTTTTTAAATATATATATTAAATTTTTCGTACTAGTATTAACTTTACATATTAAGAGGATTTTTATCGTGAAATCATTTTCAATGGAAATAATTAACTGGACACAGACAGCCCGTTAGATTGACTCCGGCGCATTCCAGAATTTTAAAGGTGCGCCGTAGCACCCTCTCAGCAGCAACATAGGAGCGATATGTTTGGATTGATATTAAATAAAACTGACTTCTAGTGTAACTTATTTTTATAACTAAAGTTAGAGTAAAAGTCAGTTAAGATATGTTTAGATAAATGTTTTTAAAAAACCAATTGAAAAGGTTAAAAATTGTTTAGATGATTAATAGAAAAATAAATTTAATTATAAAATGACTGAAAATGACATAAATTTTATTGAATAGTAGTGTTTGAAATTTTATGTTTTTAATGTGATAAGAGTTTAAAAAAATACATAAAATTATTATGATAAAATATAAATAGTTTATTTGTGAAATTATAAAATAAAAAATTTGTTACGAAAAAATTTGAAAACACATTGTAAATAAATTTGAAAACACATTATAAATAATTAATTAAATATATAAATGAATGAACACAAATATAAATTAAAATTCATTTGAACTAAATAAAAGCTTGTTATGCCAATATAAGAGCGGCTCCAATAGTCAAATCAAAGGATGTTTATATATCATTAAAACTTCCTATCTAAATACTTCCCAGAGTCCAGTTTAAGTTCATTCAAACGCCTGTTTTATTAGCTTTCGGGGTTGTGGTGAGTTAAATTCTGGAGTCAATTTGCTGGTTAAAAAAAAAAAAAAATCACGAGTCAATTTTTTTCTTGATGTCCAAATATAAATCATCTTATACCAATTTATTTTCACCCAAACTTTAATTGAAATTTCAGCTTTGAAATCATTAGTTCGAACATTAATGTAGATTCAAGTCCCTGTTGGCAAAAAAAAAAAAACATTGTGCTTTCTTACCTTATTTATAAATCATTTCCAACATGTTTTATACAAAATAAGAAAAATCTTAAATTTCATTAACTCTCATTTAAAATTTAATAACTTTCCAATTTTATTCCTATTTATTATATATTATATTATATTAGAACAGAGTCAATACAATATTAAATAAATGATAAAATTGTATATTTATATAAAAATGTTCTCTCAAATTTATAAATGATGAAAAATTGCTTCTCTTGCTACCATATAAGGGTGTGCTTGGATGAAACCAAACCATGGTTTAGATAATAGCTTTTGGAGAATAGATTCTGGGAAGAATAAATTCTGTGAAGAATATATTTTGTAAAAAAGTAATTCTGAGAAGTGAGAGTGTTTGGATAGTTGTTATCCAAAGTACTTTTTATATATACAAATTACTAAAAAAACATAAGTTAATATGATAATTATATAAAAGATAAATTTTATGATATATTTTAATTTGAAGGAATAAAATTGTTAATAATATATTTTTTACTAACATAATTAATAATACATAAGATAATATAATTAATAAATAATTAATATGTGTATATATGTTTATAAGATATAAGGTTAAATATGTTTATAAAAAAATAATTGAGAAATGTTAAAGTCATATTATTGTTGAGATCTACTCTGACAGGCACAATCATCTCTCCAATTTGAACCAGAAGCATAATGAATTCACTTCTCCTGAAACCATGGTTTTGGATTCCAAAACCATGGTTTTGGCCCAAACCATGGTTTTAGATTATTGGCCCAAAATTAATGCTGTTTGGGTGATATCTCACCAAAACCATGGTTTTGCCTCCCAAACCATGGTTTTGAGGGTCATCCAAACAGACCTTAAATAGAATATGAAGAGTAGTTTATTATTGCTACTTTCACCCAAACTTTAACTTCTTTTTATAAATTAAAAAGTTTATAGTGAATTAGGTTCCAGAAACTTGTAAGGAACAAAAAAAAAAACACTTGCAAATCGTCACCAATAAAGTGCTCACATTAATAGTAAGATTTATCCAAACTTTATCTTGCAAACTTCAATTTATGTTAGCCTCTATTTGTGACAATCTATGAAAATATCTCGATGGTGGCTTTTCCCCAGTTCGACTGCCTCAAAATGCACGGTATTTGGCAAAGCCAATAATTTTCTTCTTCGCAAATGGCACATTAAAACTCGTGAAACGTATTTAAATCTGCAAATCTAATTCTGGGTGGTATTGTTTAAATTAGGTTTTGGAGACAATTTCAGTTTGTAAAACAATAGCTTCAAAATAGTCAAACATGGTTGGAAGATAAATTAAGTTCTCCCAAATTCAATTTGGACGCTTGAATTGGAATCCAAACGCGCCCTAATATCATCATCTTTTTTTTACCACTGCCTTACTGAAGTTGGGGAAAATTCGGGGTTTTAAGTGTCTGATGTGGTTATTAGCCAAAAGAAAACCAAAGGAATGTCCCATGCAGTTAAACCATACGAGAAGAAAGAATTGGTAAGGGCAGTGCAAGCTGAAGAAGGCATTATATTACTATCTCATATTTTTAATATAAGATTTTGTTTGATTTTTATTTTAGTCCTAAATATAAGATCTTAATTTACTTTGTCTCTCATATTTATCTATTTTTTTAAATAGTTTTTATAATAATGATAGTTCTACCTAGGGGTGTGCATGGACCAGACTGGATCGGGTTTGTTATCAACCCGAAGTCTGGTCCAGTAAAGACCTCGGGCTGAAAAAGACAGCCCGAGGTCTGGTCCAGTCCAATACCAACCCGAGGTCGGGTTGGACTGGACTTGGTCCTCTGGACTGTCTGGACTGGTCCAGGCAGTCTAGGACCTAAATTTATTTTTTTTTTTAAATTTTTTTCCTTCAATAGGAGACAAGATTGTAACTTATTATATAAAATTTTGTACATATTTTAATCCAAAGTTCATCAAATTTAATCATTCTCTTTCAATTTCCCAATAATGTCATGTTTTATTAATTAATCCTCATTAATATAGATCTTATATTATAGAAAATATATACGCATGCTCATTACTTAGGAAGTTAATAAATAAATCTTGATTATTTGAATAGACAAAAAACTTATCTAGAAAAATTAAACCAAATTAAAATTATATAAATAATAATTAAAAAAAACCGGACTAGACTGGACTGGACTAACTAGTCTGAGGGGTCAGTCCTTAGTCCAGTCCAGCCCGATGAGACTAGTCCGGTCCAGTCTGGTCCAGTCTTGTTTCGGGCTAATTTTTTTTGGACCGGACTGGACCGGGTTTGCTCGGGTTGGACTGGACCATACCGGACCACCGGGTTTTTGCACAGCCCTAGTTCTACCCAATACACTTGATTAATAAGAATATTTTAGGACAATAATACATATTTATTATAAATAATTAATTTAACTAGTTTCTTCAATTTATACAAATTAGTCAATTATCTCTTATATTAAAGACCGGAAACAGTATAAGATAGCCAGCACTTTATTGTGAACAATTATAAAAATCATAATCATGCCAAAATCCAAAAAAGCAGTAGTATCTAGATTTTTTATTCTCTTGCAATAACGCAGCTTCACATGAATTCAATACTATGATTCCATTCCTACGAAGATGATGTGCGTGGAATTTGTCCCCGAAAAAAAGTTTTCCCTTTGCACACATACTGCTCCTTTTCAACAGTTTTGTTCCAATTTTAATTGTCTGGTAATTATTTTAACCAAATTAGACAAAAAAATTTAAAATTGAAGAATAAAATGAAACCCTGCAAAATTTTACGAAATACGGTGAAATTGTAAATAATTCCCTCATCAGCATCTGAGAGGCAACAGAAGCAATGGCGCCATTTATGTGAATTTGAACTCCCGCGACGTCCATGACGATAGCGCTCCTATTCCATAATATACGGGTGAGGCCACTCGGTCTCTTTCGTTTTAGAATTTAGAATCAGAACTCTGAACCCTAGTTCCAAAGCCACGCTTTCCAAATTCGAAGCCCGCCAAGCCACTGCTTTCCCACCCCTTTTTACTCCCGCTATTCTGACTGCGTCGTTCGAGGGATCTCTTTCAGCTAGCCTCTTGTTCCACTCTTTCTTGGATATGTCTTCGCCTGTTCCTCAAGAATTTGATTCCACCCCGCAGATCTACTCTCGGAAAGACAAGTCACTTGGATTACTCAGCTCTAAGTAAACCCCTTTTCAACTGACGGATTCACTGGGTTTGAATATTGTCTTTTTCGGATTTATACATCTTTTTATGTTAATTTGAAGATGATTTCTTTGCATTCAGCTTCCTCAAGTTATATAATCGGGAAGGTATTGGGACGATTGGACTTGACGATGCTGCTTCCCAACTAGGTTTACGCCTTTACTTGCTTTTGCTCCTCCTTTGTTTCCATTTTTCCTTGAATTTTTCTTAGCTGCTTTGAAGTTGCAAGATGGAAATTCGGACAGTCGAATCGGTCCTGCTTTTTCCGAGATCCCGATTCTGATATTAACCACTCACTTGAATTTCCAGGAGTTCAGCGTCGCCGCATGTATGATGTAGTGAACATATTGGAGAGCGTTGGAGTAAGCGGGGTTTTATGATTTACTTAAAAACATGATCCTTTCTTTCTTTTCTTTTTTTTTGGGTTTTGAATCACTTAGTTTATTGTTTTGTTTTCCAAAAAAAAAAAAATCTCTAGATTGTCGCAAGAAAAGGGAAAAATCTGTACCTATGGAAAGGTTTCAGAGAAATTCCTCGAGCTTTGAACGAGCTTAAGGTAAGCAGACGTTTTCTTCCTTCTCATGAGTTATTTTGTTTGAACCTGATAACTCGGAGGTGACCTGCGCTATATTATGCACACAGGAGGAAGGTATGAGAGAAAAATTTGATGCATCCTACTGCAGGTCAGCTGAAGTAAGTTTGATATTTTAGTTTGGTCATTTGAGTGTTTTAAGGGTGCTCCGTTGATGACAAATTAGCCATACTTTCACTGGTATACACACGAGGAGGCGAAGCTAAAGAGCTAGTTTTTGAAATAGCTGAATCTTAGAAACTTTCTTTTGGGACACTTGATGGAATGGGTTGGGTTTTAATCTTGCATTTACATGTTTCTTTCTTTTCATACTATCATTTTGGAATTTTTAGTGACTCTGAGTTAAACATATCAGACATCAAAGAACAAAGAAAGCGGTGGCTCTGAAACTAAAACTGGTCCTTTGGCAGCGGCATTGCGCAAAACTGGTAACGTCTTCTTCCTCCCTATTCTCACACGATAGGTTGCAAAATCAATCATTAACATTTTATATCTCGTCCTTGCTGTAAAATATGCCTCAAATTCCCCGTTGTAGATTGGTCAATGACAGTGCGAGATCATTTCTCTTATTTTTGCTGCCATTCTTTTGGCAATGACTTATATAGATCATTCCTGTTATAGACGGCTGCAGAAGAGACAAATCTATGGCACTTTTGACCGAGAATTTCATAAAGCTCTTCCTCTGTTCAGATGTATGTGATATTTCTTTTGCATGTATCATGTTCTGAATTTTTGTTTGTGCAGTTTTATGATTGGTTTGGCACTGCTATCACTTCCTTCAGGTTGAAATTATCTTGCTTGAAGATGCTGCAAAGGTAATGCCGGGTGATGCCCAGAATTCAACTGCCTTGAGAAGTAATTGACTCCACGCTTACACCCTTAAGAGTGATTCTCACATTATATTGTCAACTTGAGGAAGGACGAAATGAATGACGTTATCACTTTTATCTTCTTATATGGTTATGCAGCAAAAGTCAGGCGTTTATATGACATAGCGAATGTCCTCTCATCAATCAATCTGATCGAGAAGGTAAAACAAATAGCCTACAAATATTTCTTAAGCTCCTAAAATTCGATAAAAGTGAGCCTAATTTTTCTTTTTTAAAAAAAAAAAAACGAACAAACAAATATGTGCAGACGAATCATCCTGAGTATAGGAAAACAGCATATAGGTGGTTGGGAGGGAAAGCCAGTAGAGAATCTGATGGCATGTTGGATCAAAGTGCATCCAGGAAGAGAGTGTTTGGTGCGGAAATTACAAATTACAGTCTGAAGAGAAATAAAACAGACTCTTCAATGGATTCGCAGTCCCATGGAAAGGTTGTGCCAGTGCATAAAAAACAAGATGATTTGGAAAATGAATACAGATGTAAAACTCTGGAGCAGCCCCCTAAATGCAGTTCGAAGGCCATAGACTTTGGCCCTTTTGCTCCTGTCAAGTTTAGAAGAGAAGATCCAGAGCACAGACGCATGGGACAGGTTCATGACATGGAGACAATGAGTTCTAAATATCGCCGAGAGTATCACAACTAAGGTGAATTTTAAATGTTATATTCTAAGGGTCATTAAGATCTAAAACTGTACCTTGCATAATTAATTTGATTATATGATGGAAGGGGGGGTCTTATTGCGTGCTCAAATTAAAGCCAGTACTTGTTGACTGGGCTGGTCTATTCTTTCACATGCTCTTATTCACTGAGGTCTAAGAAAGAAGAGGTGAAAGTATCCTGTAAACTCGGTTTATGTGGTTAGAAGTCTGCTGTCCCTTAAACCCTAGCACTGGGAAATACTTGCTCATTCCATCCTGGACAAAGGTGATGTTGAAAGTCGATAATGAGCTGTTCACCTGAGTTGTGCTTCTGTTTGACTTGAAATTTTGTATCTCATTTCACTTGAAGAATCACGACACGCATCCACTTTCACTTGCGTGTTAGTAGCGGTTGTATTGTTGAATTGTTGGTGTCATATTCTCTTGTTAGTTACACTATTCTGTCTCATTGTTCAGGTCTCAGTTTTTTTTGGAAACTACTGACACTATACGCATAGAATTCAACTTACGGTTATAAACTTACGATGAATATAGTGGGAATACTAGTGAATGTGAAACTATCAAAGTCTGTCGTTCTGCATGTTATATGACTCCTTATGATCTAAACCATTGCAGTGACCCAATTGTAAAGGATAAGTTTGTTGATAGTGTGACGGCTGTGATAGTGAGCAGCCTCTTTGCTCATTACGTGGATGCGTAGCCTGTTGAAGCAGCAGTGCGGCAGGAGATGTCTTGATCCAGTGGGGGTGAATTTTCTTTCTAACTGTCTCCTTTTCACAGTAGTCCCCAGAGTGAAATATACGTGTTCATTTTTTCCTCAATGAAAAGAGTGAGAGCATTTGTTGTATTGCATGTTTTCTGATTTCTCAAGAGGTCCGAGAATTGCCCTCTGACTGTTAACATTAATTTCTCCCACGCTCTATCGTTTGTGCACAGAATTGCCTCTATGGTAACTTCATGAGATAGGGGGCACACATAATCATCAATATCAATATATTCTTCCAGTTCTAAATATAGGATTTATTTTGTAGTGTAATTCGGTTCTAAATATAAGACTTATTTTGTAGTGTAATTTATGTTATAAAATGAGTTTTATATGCAGGACAAGGGAGGTGTATTTGCATAACAAAATTTATAATGATTTATACTATTTATCAATCATGAAAAATATTAAACATCAAGGAACAATTGTATAATCTAAATGCAATATTAAATCATTTTATTAGTTTTATTTTTTTAAATATTTTTTTTTCATGAATATAGCACGTGTATAGATTATGTTTTTATGTTTGTATATAGATGTGGGTATAATTTATCTTACTTTTTAAATTCTTGTTCACAATAAATTTAAATAACTAAAATATGAAGATTGTCTATTTTTCTTTTGGTTATTATTTTTGGTTTTTAATATAAAAACTAGTTGAATAATTTGAGTAGATTAAAAAAAATCAGTTAAGTTGATTATTTGTAATAAATATGTTGTTTTTTTTAAATATCTTTATTAATCAAATATATTAGTTAGAATTATGATTATTATAAAAATTATTTTTAAAAAATAGATAAATATGCGAAGTAAAATAGATTAAGATTTTATATTTAGAATTTAAAATAAAAATTAAATAAATTCTTATATTAATATTGGAAATACTATATCACTTTAGTGATATAAACGAACAGAAGTGTGACATCCATAGTGAAAGGCAGTCATCAAAAGGGATAGGCGTTGTTTGTTAGGACAGAATTAGATGTGAGGCACGAGAACCTGAAATTAAAAGGGTATTTAGTTGGAGATAGGAAATAGGGTCACCATTCATGAACATGGGCGATGAGGGAGGGACGTCTAGTTATAGAAGAATCTGAGGGTATTTGTGGTGTTAAGCCGCCAAGATCCTCCAATCGGCACGCCCACCACTAGGTCCCTTCTACATGGCCCGCTCGCGAGTCCTCACTAACTTCTATCCTATGGTCTGCTCTATCCTATCCTCCACTCATGCGATTTTGTTTTCGAGCCATTTCTGGCTCGCTGACCGCTGTCACTACTGAATAAAATTTTTCAGATTCACCATTTCCCCCAATCCCATGCTTAGACCTCAATTTAATTTGGATTGCCTTTCCTACGTGTCTTATCTTTTGGTTTTTGAAAGTGTCACACAATACTAAAAATCCCTTAATATCATTAAATTATTCTTAAGCTTTTTTTCAGTTTCACATGATTTTTAATTAAATTTTTATAATTTCTTTATCTGATCATATTAGTTTAACTTTATTTTTTTTTCCAACTAAATTTAGTTAGGTCTATGCATTTTTTTCAATTATATGCTACTCTTCCGATCCTTAATATAAGACTCAATTGTTGAGTTGGTTTTGATCCTAAATATAAAACTCATTTATCATATTTATCAATTTTTTAAATTATCCCTATAAATACTTTCTCAACTATAAGCAAGTAAAAAAGAAAGAGGGATATTAAGAAAGATGATTATAGTATTTTAGGAAAAACATGTCACATTTCTTATAATTAACTAACTTACCTAACTTTCTTAATCTAATCAAATTAGTTAAATGAATTTTATATTAAAGATCGGAAGAATATATCTATATGATTTTTAACCAAATTTTATACTAGTAGTTTTTGAAAGGCGACTACCGGCTGCGAGGGACCTAGGGTCACCAGCACCCGTGCTAAGTTTTCACATAATTTTATCTACGTCACATAATTTTTTATACTACCTCTGATTCTAATTATAAAGGCCAATTGACTAATTTGAGGAGATTAAGAAAGTAAGTTGAGTTAGTTATTTGTCTTAAATAGGTATTGTCTTTCCTAAAATATCCTTACTAATTAAGTGTATTGACTAAAACTTTTATTATTAGAAGGGATATTTTGAAAAAATATATATAAATACGAGAGACAAAGTGGATTAGGTCTTATATTTAGTACCAAAATAAAAGTCAAACATGATCTTATATTAAGGACCGGAAGTAATATAAAACAATATTATTTGTTATTTATTAGTACAGATTTATTTGTTCAATTGAAATTAAAATACAGATGCGTAATTCCGTCAAACGGGCAGGGCATTTCCTTAATCAAACAGAACAACTACGTAAACAAAATTGATGGGCTAGGATGAAGGCCAGATTCAGCGTGGTCGGAGGCGCGAGACATATAGACTCGGGCGCGCGCGCGCACACACATTATTTTCAACAGCTCGAGCTTCTTCATGGCGGTCTCAGCCAGAGCTTTCATCCTCTCTCGCATCAATGACCTTTCACCCAACCCTTTTCACCCCACCAAGCCGGCCCCTTCTCTTCTTCATTCCTTTTCCGTCTCTCTCAGGCGCCGTCGTTTAGCTTATTCTGCATCTGTAGTTCGCTGCTTAATCTCCGGCGTTGATGGCGGAGGCGTGTCCGACGACTTTGTTTCGACTCAGAAATCTTTTGATCGTGGGTTCACTGTCATAGAGAACATGCTCATGCGAATTGAGCCTCTCGACGCATCCGTTATCTCCAAAGGTGTTTCCAATTCCGCCAGGGATTCCATGAAACAAACCATTTCTACGATGTTAGGTTTGCTACCGTCCGATCAATTTTCCGTTAGCATTACGGTTTCAAAGCGTCCTCTTGACCGCCTTCTTGTCTCATCCATCATCACCGGGTATTATTTTCTTTTGGATTACAGCTATTATGTTTTCCTACTGGCGTTTAATGGTGAATGAACCTTTTATGATAAATGATTCGTTTGCTTTGGTTTTAGGTATACTCTGTGGAATGCTGAGTATAGGATGTCGTTAATGAGAAATTTCGATATAACCTCTCATGATAGAAAGGAGTCCAATTGTCCAACGGAGACGGACGTCTCGGGGCAGCAAGGTGGTGAAGATAGGGAAACTGAATTTGGTTCTGATTTGCCGTGCAAAGACCCCGAGTGCTGTAGCCCTCGTTTGTTCGCAGATTTGTCTCCTGAATCTCTGACTTACATTCAGAAGTTGCAGTCCGAGTTAACATTGGCAGAAAAAGTAAGTCGTAATTTTTCTCTTTGGTTCACAAATTTAATGCAATGATTGTTTGCTTTTGACATTATAGTGCCCGACATGAATGTCCTTATTCTGGTTGATAATATGCCTGGTTAATTTGGAGTTATTACAACGGAAGACTTCAGTTCAATGAATTTTAGACTTCTCAATTGCATGATCCTAGTATGCTTTTATGTGTATACTAGTTATTCTAAAAATAATTTGCGCTCGTAGTTTAACCTTCAACTACCTCAAAACTCAATTCTTTCTTTAGATGCTATCTTCCTGCCGTACTGCAAGTCATTTAACTCCAAGTCATGATTCAAATACGAACCTTTGCAGTTTTCAAGTTCATGTCATATATTTTCAAAGATATGCTTGTATTCTTTGAGTTAGAAGGCTGTTCCAAAATTGAACGAATAATGATGAGATTTGCGTTCACAACCTTGAAAATTTATCATTGAAACAATGAACCGTATCCATTGTCTGCTCACTTCTAATGGGCTTGCTGCCACATTCCTTATGCCTTTTGCAACTCTGAAGTAGCGCAAGTTATTTTCATCTATTGATTTTTAAGTAGATGCTCTTGTCTGTTCTATATGCCATTGTAATTTTTTTTATCTGATTTTGATGAAAGTTATGTATTTTTCTTGATTTCTTTTTCCCTAATGCTTTTAGAGCTTTTGCTTCATTTTTTTCCCTTGAAATACCGGACTGAAAACTCCGCAGATATGCACTATACATTTTTTTAGCATGAAGTGCTTTGCAATGGCCTTGTAATCTAATTACGCCGTCTTCAACTTGCTCAAGGAATGACCAGATCCTTCGTTTGAATTACCTATGACTGAAGCATCACCCTGTTGTAGCCTAAAATCTCCTATCCCAAATTAAAGAGTTTGATTACTCATTTAAGGCTATTTAGAGGCACAAAGCTTTGAGGTTTGCATTCTAAGGTGATATGATATGGTGTTTTTCTGCAGGAATTAAAATCCCAGAATCACGAAATAATACAAATAGAACATGACAGAGGGAACAGGAATGATTTATTGGAGTATCTACGGTCTCTGGATCCTGATATGGTAAGGACTCAAAATCTCTTCCGCTCAACCAATTTTTGTCCTTGAAACTGGAGACCAGCCAGAGCAAACATCCCCCCCTCCCTTGTTCTCTCTAGTAAGCGCTGAATCTCTCGTCTTGACAGGTGACTGAGCTGTCTCGGCCTTCGTCAGTAGAAGTGGAAGACATAATTCAGCGACTTGTTCAAAACATTTTGAGGGGATTCTTTTCAGATGATGCTAACCCAAATTTTATGGAACTATCAGTTGGAAGAAATTCAGATAATCAGCCGGATGGCTATGATGAAGTTTGTGATACAGTAGACACATCTCGCGATTATCTAGCAAAGTTGCTTTTCTGGTTAGTACTTCTCATATCACCCATCTAATATATTTTCTTTAGTCAAGTAAAGTCCTTCTGGGACGCGTGTTTCTTGATATTTTCTTTCCATTGGCAGGTGTATGTTATTGGGTCATCGTTTAAGAGGCTTGGAGAACAGATTGCATCTAAGCTGTGCTGTTGGGCTGCTGTAGAGAAGGTAAAAGCATGTATATTCTTTTCCTTCCTCTTCAAATTTTCTATTATAACATTAATGTTCTTCAATGAAAGAAAAATGGGAATAATTGCTCGCCCTTCCTTGGTCTGATCACTCACATCCTGATTTACTATAATGGACACCATTTCGTAAGGGTTTGGTTACCCATCTTGGCCGAATGAAGTAGAGCCCCTGCCATCTGTTTGTGAAATTTCCCATGGTGCACCAAAATAGCATGCCTTCATTTGGCCTCCCAATCCCTATCTTGTGAAGGCTGTGTGTTTTACATTCCCAATACGCGTATCGTTCAGGCATAGACCTCCTCCGTCGTTTGGGGGGTGTTATGGTCAAACTTCTCCTGGAGTGGTAGTCTATGCTGCCCAAATCAAACATTGCATCGGCATTAATGCCCTTTTACTCCGCGAAAAACGTTGACTAGATTTGCTAAGGCCTTGTTTCAACCTGAGAATGGCATGGAAATAAATAAATAAAATTTAATTTAATAATGGACTAATCCGATGGGTAAAATTCACCTAACATTCTTCCGCAAAATATAGACTATTTGTATGTTCTTCATGATGTACCTTGTTAAAAATTTAGAACGTGCGTGTCGTGTTTAAATTTAATTCGTATGATTTAAATATTATAGCTGCTATTGTTAAATATGATTTTTTTATCAACATTAAATTTTAATTTTCTTAAAGAAAAACATAGGCAATAATGTGAATCTTCAAAGTATTAACCTATCAAAAATAAATTGTTTATATTAATAAATATTTCAACTTTTTAGAATAAGCATGAATACTTGATAAGAGGCCATTGGAATTAGATGCTCAAAATTCACATCCTGTCCACCACCGTCCCCCGCGAACCCGTTACTTTGACAAGACATTTGAAAAGAATATAGTTATGTACGAGACTCATAACTACGCATAAAACTCACTTTCAATTTTTCCCCTTCCAAACCACATAGCCATCAAGAGAACGGATAGTTTTTTTTTTTTTTTTTGGGTGACTTTGTAGCGTACTTTTTATGAAGATTTGTGTTACCACTTCCCACAACTTTTTTCCCCCGTCATCTAGAGATGTTGCTTTACAAAAAAAACAATAAGTTAAAAAATATTTTAGAATTAAAAAAAATCATTTGATAATATTTTTATTTGTCCTGTATACTTAGAAAGGTCCCAAAAAAAATTCAAAGGATGCCGAAAGGGAAAACAATTTCTGTCTATGAGTACGAAGGAGAGGCAGAAATTATGAAACCCCCTCCCCCACCAAAAAAAAAAAAAAAGAGGAGCACAAAATGGGTTGACAGAAAAGACACCCAAAAGACCCTACGTATATACCAGTACAACGCCTTATCTACTGTCTTCCTCCGTGTTCATGTGAAAATTTCCATGAGGCTGAGCATTTGGCTACTGTTTTACAGACAGATGTTAGGCAGCGAGTAAAGCCACTTTATAACCTTGGAGCAGTCTCAAGTAGGCCCTCCATGCAACCTTGTAGCTGGTCTTTACGGTGGAGCTGTTCCCTCACAGTTTGATAAAAACCTGTGGAGTCTCTCTACTCTACCTTTGTTATGTTTGGACGATGTTCTTCGCTTATTTCGGGGACGATAGAAGACGTCTTCTGTGAACGCAACGTACTTTATCTGCAAACGAGACCCTTCTAAATGACTGGAAAAAACATACCAGAATGCTAATGAAACCTTCAAGCAATCTAACATAATTTGTGTAAGGAACTGTAACCATCTCCCGGAGCATGGTAAAATAAGATGAATAACATTCTCGGAGGAAAAAAAATGATAATATTTATAAATAAAGTATTAATAATTAAACCATCAAAAATTCAAAATGGAACACCAACAATCATAGAAAAGTAATTATATACCTTGATTGAGTTGCAAGCTATAACATGCTCCAAATTGTTGATCATTATAACACCCTCCATATCTGGAAACTCGTCTGAAGCACCATGTTTGCGCATGTTCCTGCACACATCATTATTAATTGAGAGCATCTTACAACACACCCTTCAATTAGCAAACTAGAGTTATTTGGTATATTCTGGACACAACATATCTGGGACATAAGCCACTAAGGGCAGGGTTATTTTGAGGGCTTTGAATCATTTGGCAGCACGTCTTAGATTTAAACCTCCATAATGTCATTATAACCAGAAAGGAAGGAAAAAATCGAAATAAGATAAAGTTTTGATGGCTTTGTTTCCATCATCAGGAAAAGGTAAATTTTACCAAATATATATATTAGACTCTGCAGCATCTATACCTTCGTAGCACAAAACCATGGGGTTCCTCTTTGACGGGAAAGACTGATAGAAAATCGTTGTAACGATAATCAGCAAAATTTGGATCAAGGGTAAACCCTGTTGGCATTTCATTGGTGCTGTCCATTAGCCAGATGAACAGTTTGGAGGGGCCCGATGACTGCAATAAGACCAGATTGGCAAACAAAGTTAAATAGCACTATAGTAATTCATTTAAAAATGAACATACATTGTTTCTATCTATGAATCTTCTTGTTCTTCCTTTTCTTTCTCTTGTTTTCTTCCCCCCCCCCCCCCCCAAGTGGTTGGAGAGGGGAAACATGGTCTCATAGGACTTACACATTCCAGGCGATATATATTCTCCTCCGGGAGGATCACCCGTGCATTCGCAAGATACGCTGAATGAGTTTGCCTCTCGGGTTTCTGAGAATTTTGGTACTCTAACAATTGAAGAAGTATATTATTTATTTCAACATTTGCAACCACTTGAAGCTGCAGGAAAAGAAAAGAACGTTCAGAACCTTAGGAGTAAAACAAGTCATAAGTGAAAAACAAGACAGAATAAGAGACAAACATACCTGTTTAACCAACTTATGGATCAACTTGTCCAATGTGAATAACATGTATGACTGGTTTCCAATAATTTCTTGGCATTCATCTTCAAACTTTGCATGGTCAACAGATCCATCAAGTAAATTGTAAAGTGCATCCATAAATCTAGATGAAAAATAACACGACCAATTCAGGAGCCTTAAGCACTGGTTTCTGTTCTTTCAATTTTCTTTTTTTAAATAAATAATACAAGATGTCTATAAATACCTTGAATATGGATCTGGAGAATTAGCATCCTTTGCAATTCTACGCTTCATTTCATCATTCATTGAATTTGTTTTTGCTGATAAGATCCTTTCATACAAAATCTGCCAAGATCAAAGAGTTTGCTAACTACTTCACCAATGAACAAAATGCGACATTAAACACTAATAACCTGTCCTTACATGGTGAAGCCTGAAAAGCACATAGAAATCATCATTTCCATAGATAACCCTGGATTCTCTTCTTTCTTCTACTAAAACTGGCGACACATACTTTGTAAGAGTTTTCGCAGACAAAAAGGACCTGTCTATCAATGAGCCATCTGAATCAGATTGTGCGTTACACATTCTCTCAACTTCAGCTTTATCATCAATATCATCGTGTTCCATATCTCCCTGCCCCTCATGCTCTTCCTGAGGGCACTGGTGATCAGCAAACTCCCCACCTGAGACATCTTCACCACCTTCAGAAGCATTTTCAATGTCCTTGTCCTCGACATCTGCATCGTTATGAATCCCAACCTCCAGAGGGCATTCTTCCTCCCCATTTCTTGATCGATATTTTCTTCTTGCATTGCGTTCTAAGCTGGGCGTTACCTGCACGTTCCCATCTCCATTGCCAACACAGTTATCCTCTTCAGAATCACCATTTAGCGAGGAAGATAGTTCAGTCTCTTCCTTTCCAGTTTGGCAGTGCCCAGCAAAGTCATTGCTTTGAATAGGAACTCCATTGGCCAAAAGATCTGGGGTTGCCCCGTCACAATTCTGAAGTATCAAGTTAACAGACAGACACGTTAATACCAATTGAAAAAGAAACCCTTTGATTCAAATGAAAGCAGAAGTGAAAATAGGGGCAAATGATCGTGCAAAAGTTGGTTATGATTGGATCATTATCACTGTTAAGTAGTCCCTTACCTCCACCACAGATAAATCACCAATTTGAGACTTGGCTACAGAGTCATGATCGTTTTGTGCATCATGGGCGAATTGTTTACTAAAGTCAAAGGCTTTAGCATTACCATCTACATTTTTTGGCCCTCTCTCCATCAGAGCATTATCTTTACAAGGGCGACCGTCACCAGATCCAGCTTCTTTATCACCACACTCAAAGCAAATCTGGCAAAATTTCTTTGCTTCAGTCTCTCTACCATTAGTTTTATCGGATTTCGGTTGCCTAGAATTCATTAATAAAGCGTCAACTTCAGGGCATCCAACGTGTGATGCGACAAAACTGGGAACATAATGCCCATCTCTCCTATTCTCGACAGCTACTAAGTACTAACCTATCAGACCGAGAAGGAACACCAAGCATCGGCTCCAAGAAGGTAGTCCAGACTCTCAACATTTTATTTAACAACCCTTTATTAGCAATGATCACTTTACATGCATAGCAAACGAGTTTATATAGGTCTTCATGAATCCCAACATCTGAAAATTCAAATTGTATATGCGGAATGGGAGATAGTTTATCAGCGGCAGTGACCTGAGGCCACTCCTGTTTCTGCTGCTTCTCTTTGATTTCTTTGATCTCAGCCACCAAAGCTGTGCATTTAATTAAAGACGGTGTAAAAGCAACTGAAACGTGAAAAATATCAAGAGCTTGAAATGAAATTGTAAGCTCTTAGCAAGATCAGTACTGAAATTCTAGCAGATGCAGAAGACCATTAAGACTTTTGTACCTGATGAATGCCTTGTGTGATTTTTTTTTTTTGGCCTGAAAGATGTCTTATGTGACATTAATCTTATCTTATTCTAGAATCCTGTCTCATATACTTACCATAATTCTTAATTTTCAAGTAATTATTATCAAATATTCCAATCTATTTTCAACCTCCATTAAAAAGTCACTTGCCTTTTGGGTTCAGCTTCTTCGAGTCTTGTTGCTTGAAATAGAAGCTACGATGGTCAAGTGATTTGTAGTAGTTTTCAGCATAAATTTCAGCCCAGACCTTGTTGAATTCTGAACGACACTTCTTCCACTCCTTTCGTTTCTGCTTTAGTCGACTCAACATCACAGGCAAAGCAACAATAGGATTCTTACGTAATGCCTCCATAGCTTCAAGACCATAGTCACCATACAGACGCTCAATGCATTTTAAATGTAAAACTGAAATATGAATACCACTTGACAGAATCAATCTATCATAATGCTCTAACAGTTATAAGAAATAGAAGGCTTCAAATTAACATTTTGAATTAAGACGATTTCAATGCATACCACTAAAGTATTCTTCAATATGGATTGGACCCTCAATATTAATTTTGTTTCCAATAATGCTATTATATAACTCCTCTGTACGTTTAGCAGTTGACCTCACACGCTCTATTAACAAGTCCAGCTCAAATCTACATTGGATTTAATACCGTCATCATTTGCCTCATAAAAATATTCTAACTGATGGCAAACGAAAAGAAATTGAAAATGAATACTAGTTTGAGAAGGCAGGGAGGATATTTAATATCATAAGAAAATCTTGTCAACTTGAAGAAAAAGGAATTGCGAAGCCAGAATAATGAGATAAAAGAACTAAAGATAAAAAAGACAAGAGTTGTACTGGTCATCTTCACATTTGAACAAGCTTCTTTCATACTGATTCCTAAGCATATGTTTGAAAGAGTAATCCTCACTTCCTGAAGTTACAGATAGCCAGTGATCATTCAATACTTCAGCATCAAGCTTGGATCTCCGACTAGGAATAGGAATTGGATGCTGCAATAGTAAATAAAACGAACTATATTCGCAAAGGCGCAATATGTTAACGAGGCCATGCAAGAAAGAAGAATCTAAAAGTACTGTACATCTCTAGGAAGATGCCGGTAGCTGGGATTACAATGTTCACAATCGCTGGGGTCAAGTTCATGAATTGACATCCCCATGTATTTCTCATGGTTTTCTTCCCTCTCTTTAGGCATATGCACCTCACGCTTCTGGTCTCTATCTTTATCTTCCAACTTCGATGATCTGAATAATTGACCATCACTACCAGATGATTCTGGAACGAACAACTCTTGCAGCATCAGTTTTGGTCCATAAGAAAAGGTTAGGAAAACCATTTAGAACAACTCCAGGAAATTCAATGACATAAGTATCTTGATGAATCTTCAAAAGAAAAAATATTGAAAAGATCATTGAAAATAAAATCATACAAAGAACTCGGTCCTTGAATATAACTGCTAACCTCCTTAAGGTAAAGGGAAACGGCAAAAAATAGAGAGTGTAAGGAGGATAATTAAGTTGTATGATATTTGGACGTACTTTTACTTATGGCATTGGCAAGGAACCCATCTGCAAGGAAAATTATGTCAGGTACATCCTTCAACTTAAGGAATTAGATCATAAATAGCAAGAAAGTCGAAAAACAATCACCAATATTTTCACATTGGTCCACGACGTCATCGAATTCATCCATAAGATCAGGATACTTTCCAAGTGAAGTGACTACCTGAATTCAGAAAGCGTCATTAGAAACCATTGAAGCTCGAGCTGAACAAAAAGTTTGATCATCAATAAGATATCCCTGGGCTCTTGATGGAATTATATATTTTAGTGTACTGTTCAGATGGCCTAGAGGTTAATGTATGTAATAAATAGATGAAAGGGAAGTTGGTTAATGGGGTATTAGGGATTATGGACTATAAAAGGGCATAAGAGGGGTTATTGTAATCAACTTTTGATATAATAGATTTGAACCACTCTCGTCTGTCTTTCTATCTCCCTATTTCCTTCTGTGTCTCTCTCTTTCTCCCTGATTCCCTCTCTTTTCTATCATTTCTATACATCAGTCTTCACCCTAGTAACTGGTTTTTTTTTTTTATTTGGGGAATAAAGGACTGGTAACTGTTAGAAATTATTTGTATTTATGCATTATAAACCAGGCTGTGAAACCGCTGACTAGCATTAGGATCTTACAAAACTATAGGCATCCAAGCGCAGCATAGTATCTTTGGCAAAAAAAAGGTGTAGCATAGAATCGAAATATGCATAATGTCTGATGTTAGACATATAAAACAGAAATTAAAATAATATAGACTGAAATTTTGTTATTCTAGTAACATCTGTTATCAGGAGAAAAGGGCTAATAGATGGGAAATGCTACCAAAACTGTGGAGTACAACTACCAGTGAAGCCCTCTCAATTGTTGAAAATTAAGAGCAGTGAAACTAAAGCAGATTGATCTTATCAAGAATATTGAAACACACAGATGTGCTCTGGTATGAATTTTTAAGTATGTGATTCACAAAAGCAAGACGGTATCACATACCAAATCATTTAAATCATGCCTATTTAGTATTCCACTGCTGAACATATGAAGGCACTTCAAGAACGCCTGGTGGTCATCTGAGCTGCCCAACCTCTCCTTAACTTTCTCACAGAAACCAAATGCTTGGTCATACATGCCTAGTATGAAGTCAAATCAACAGGTTACAAAACTATACAGGTCACAATGAACTTAACATTCTCAAACATTAAAAGTAACGTATGGAATGCTTGCAGTTATTACAATCTCATGAGATGCAGGGTTTCCTTTTTTCAAACTTTAAAAGGGATATTGTGGTGATACAGGTTCGATTCCCTCCTCCCTCTGCTTCCAATTTTATTGTATATTTTAAAGATTGAAAACATGTATCTAGGGAATTAAAAAAAAAAAAAAACTGAGTGGGCAAAGAAGCCATTAGATTCTGAATTACATACCAAAACAAATATATAAAGGATGAGGTCTATTTATCTCTCAAGCCTTTCAAAAAGAAGAGATCAAGAAGTGACAAGAAGAAAATATCAAGTAAACCATATTAATAATTTCATAACAATCAACCTACATACACATTTACCCGTGTCTATTGAGGTGAATTAATCTAAGCGATTGCACTGATTTGGGCAGTGCATGCAATCTGCACTTCCGTTCTCCTTTTTTATTTTCCTCTATGGTGATTGCTTTAATATTTGAAGCACATAGAAATATATAAATATCAACTCAACCTCAACACTGACCCACAGTACCAGTAATGCAGAATTGACGACATTTTACCCCTTTTGTTAGAAAGATCAGGTTCTCTATCATTCCGGTCATTAATTTTCCTATCCCCGCTTTGCTCAACCTGCTTCTTGTGCTCTTTACTCATTACTTTGCCATCATTCAGCTTAGATGAATGAATGCTGAGATTGTGATCATGAGAAGAAATAAGTTTATCTCGTTGATGAGGTTGCTGTAAAGATGGTAGTTTCTAAAGTAATCAGCAAAAAGCTTATAAAATTCAGTAAAGAAAGAGAGCGGAAAAAAAATACTAATCCAATCAGTTGAAAGCTCATAAAATTGCCTTGTCCAGTTGCAATTGCTGCTTAATGGCTGTGGCAGAATTCTGCTCGTTAAAACACTGAACTAAATTTTGACCATATGCTGCACGCTGTATAGAAGGTGGTGTAAAATAATTTGGCACAAATCTGGTGAACTCCTCAAGTAAGTCAGGATGGTTGTCAAGAAGGGAAGAAACCTAAAGGCATAAAATTATTTCAAAAAATTTAGTACATATCATGGAAGCTGGCTTAAAAAGAATGTAGCAATTTGTTTAGCGAGTGTTTTTTTATTTTTTTTGGGTTGACTGTTTATACTTTCAAGGGTTGACTAATGAAAGGACTATTGATAGTTGTATGATTGCACTGCAAGTAAATTATTATATTTCTACATTGATAGCTAGAGAAAAAAGCTACCGGTACATTTTATAGCATCAAATTTCTTTTGAACAGAATGTTTCATGACAGGGCACCAAAATCTGTGCATGTTATGAGAGCAGGTTTAAAATAATTTAGCGATCAATTAAGTAATTGATTGGTTGAGCTAATTGTTTTACCCTTTCGTAAGCAGGCTTGTAAAAGGACTGTTTGATGATTATATAACTGTCTTGGAAGTTAATTAGATGGGTTTTAGCGGACGTTTGGAATGAATGAAGAAAGCAATTTCTTCTTATCCTCTCTGCAGAATATTTACCAATCCATTTTTCAACTTTCTGAAAGTAGCGGTTTGAGGTTCATTTTCCTTCATTGAATTGTGTGTTTTTTCCATTCCATTGCTTTCCACTCTTAGTGCCAAATGAATCTTTCATATTGGTAGCCAAAGAAAGGCTATCAATACAATGTCCGTCATGAAATTAAAGTTCTTTTGGACAACAAAATATTCCTACAAAGGGTGTCTAAAATCAAAAAGAACATTCATTTACCTCCGCGTAGACCTCAGTTACATCTTTCCTCCCTGAGCGGAACATATTCATAATGTCCTTGAATGATTGGTATCCATGATCATCATTTTGAAATCGTTCCTGGAAGAGCAAAACCTATCAATCAAAGTGATAATAACCAACAACTTTGGCGAAGCATCAACTCAGACTGAACTTTATAACCCACCCTCATCTTGCGTATAAAATCCCGAGCTTCATAAAAGTCAACCACTTTCTTTGGAGGAGCTCCATCCTCATCAGGCGTTATCTCATAGCCTTTGGGCATGAAGGCATTGAATCCAGAAATCAAAACGCTATGCCCTTTGATTAGTTCCTTCACCCTTTCTCTAAAACTAGCAGTGTCAATCCTGCCAAAAGAGCAAACAGACTGATACTTATAAGTTGTAACTCCTTTAAGTTAAAAAAATATTATGACAAATTATCCAAGGTGTGCAGAGTTTACCTGTGAGCCTTGAAATCTATCAAGATCGCCTGGAACATATAATATTTTTCTGTTTGGTTCTGAAAGATTTGTTTCATTACCGCTAAATAGGATAAGGCGTGGGTCATAGTCAAATTCCGCAAAGAAGCTCCTCCTTCTCCTCTTATACTACCACCGCCATCTCCGCCTCCTCCATGGTCACGGGATTGACCATTGCTTCACACAGCATGCAAAGGTATATTCAGATAACAGAATAAGAGTAACTCGCCGTTGAACGAGACGTTATATTTGTATATATGACAAGAAGTAATCAAATTTATTAACAAATGTCCAATGATCTAATGCTGCGAATGGAGGGCTCGAAGTACATAATCTGAGTAGAAAAACCTCACGGAAACTTGAAGGAACTTCATATCATTAGTATCATCTCAACACTCTTAATGCCGGGCATGTTCTAATTCATCGTTGAGGTACCGAAAGCCAAGACCGTGGCGAGAAATGCTCGCCGAATTCTTTTGGTTTAGAGAAGCAAATAAAGAGGAACGAACAATTCAAGAAAGAGTCAGAATCAGAACTTATGAGGCATATCAAAAACAAGAATCAGAACTTACGAGTCATTTGTTCTCCTCATCTTGGTATCAAAGAAGTTAGCTATTGAAGCCTGAGAACTGAGAAGGAGCCTATAGCGTACGTGGGAATTAATAGTGCTCAAGATTTCAAGTCAAAAAGCAAGATTTTGGAAGCACCCTCTCAGTCCGAAAATTTATAAATATATATACCTTCATGCGGCTGCGCCCCACTGCTCTTACGCGCGGGTCGGGGAATGGAGTCCAAAACTTATGATATTTTCAGTAAAATTAAAAATTAAAAAGTAAAATTAATTTGAAGAAACATTTTTATATAAGATATATTTTTATCGTGATGTTATTGCAAGATTATACACCTCTTAAATTCTGATTGGAGCGTATGATGATAAACATGTCAAAAATTATTATTAATCCAATCTCTATAATATTTTGCATTTTCATGATTTTTGGTAAAAGTTTACATTCGTTCTTCTATTATGATAAAAGTTACATTTTGATTCCTTAATTCTATAAATTATAATCTTCTCACTCTTTTTTAAACTAACACAATTAACCTCAAATAATAATTTTTATCTCAATTATTGTTATTTTTAAAAATTAAACTCAATGTATCAATTTTTAAAAATATTTTATCAACATTTCGAATTTCAATATTACCATCTTTTGTTAATAATATTAGGATTATTGGATTAAAGAACACTTTATAAAATTAAAGAAAATCAAACAGACTAAATGTGCTGGTTTACCTTTTTTTTTCAATTAGATGACTTGTGTATTCTTCAAAATCGAGTGTTTTTTATTTGTACATCACTTTTTATATATTCGAGTTTTTATCAGCAGGAATGTTTATAGCCAAGTTTTACTTGATATAGATGTGGAATAAATTGAAGACTTTGGGTGGAGTTTAAGATTCACTGTGACCTTTTAAGAAAATAAATATACTCCTACAGTCCTAAATATAAGAACCATTTTATAATATAAATTGTACTATAAAATAGATCTTATATTTAACACTGGAGGAAGTATTATATTATGTATCGCTAAATTTCTGTAAAGTTATTTTTTCAAAAAATATAACTTTTTAAGAAGTTTTTGTGTGTATGAGTTCTTAGTAATTTCTGAGCTCAATTGTACTAGCTTATATTAATTAAAAATATGACATTAACAAAAAAAAAAAAAATTGGACAATGACACTAACAGAATGAAACAGAAATAATCTGACTATTCTATCTTAATTGAGTGGACCTAAGAATCTTAGTAATACTCCTCCGGTCCTTAATATAGGATCCAATTGTTGAGTTGATTTTGGTTCTAAATATAAGATCCATTTCTCATATTCATCATTTTTCTGTAAATTACTCCTATGGATACTCCCTCAACCATAATCAAGTAGAAGAGCGAGAGGGAGTATTAAAAATAATAATTATGGTGTTTTAAGAAAAATGTGTCAACTTACCTAATTTTCTTAATCTAATCAAATTAGTTAAATAGGTCTTATATCAAGGATCGGAGGAGTGAGCCAATAATGCCAAATATGCGGTTGTAACTTACCTGTTCCTTATTATTTGGGTCCTGAAGATAATATTCAATTATTCGTTTAAACATTTGATATCATTCTAAGATTCAATTTTTTCCGGTATTCTATATTATTTTTTCCGTCTTAAATATAAAAATTATTTTGTAATATAAATTATATTATAAAATTAGTTTTATATTTAGAATGAGAGGAGTAATTGTTTTTTCCTTTTGGAAAAAAATAATTTTTTCCTCATAATACATTTATTTACGGAGACATTTTTATCTACATTCATTAAATGCTAGGAGTAAAACTAATAATAAAAACCAAGTGTATATCATCTAACATCATGCTAGCTTCCACTGTCTAACCTTATATACTACCTCCAGTCCTAATTATAAGACTTTATCTATAGTTTATAAATGAGATCTTATAATTAAGATAGGAGGTAGCACAATTGAAGTCATAACAAGTTAATTATTATATTAACCTGGAGGAAGCAAGAAAATTCTAGCTAATGCAAAAATTATTACATATTTACATTTATAAAATGCGAAAATAGGCAACGCCTTCAGAAAATACCATCTCCTTTTCCGGTTCATGAGGTTTGCGGAGTTGATATCCTGGGATTACAAAATGGAAACTTACATTTAAGCGGCTGCATTTTGTAATATTTAAATGAGAAAATCTTTAGAATTATAATTATTTAGGAAAATCAGAATTGCTCACAAATTTTAGAAACTTATTACCAGATTTTAAATAAATTTTTTAAAATCTGGTCAAGTCCGTTAAATTTTGGGGCCAAGCTTATTGTCATAAATAATTATAATCCTAAATATTTTTCAATAAAAATTTTAACAAGGGATCTTAGATGTATTTTCCCCTACATTGAAATAATTAACTCGGGGGAAAAAATAGGGCGGAGGAAAACCCTTCCACACTTCCTCCTGATCATCTTCATGCAGGATTGGGCCTTCGGCCCTCCCGGCGTTCAGCCATGAAACTTAGACTCGGCCAGTGCAGGGAACGGCGTTCGACGGCGTTCTCTGAAGAGTGACCAAAGAGTGATAAGCTCCGGTTGGTCCCTTAGCTAACAGAGATGAGTGGGTCCCTTTCTCCACCACTTTCCCTTTATCCAACACAGCAATCAGATCACAGTTTTGTATGGTGCTCAGCCTGTGGGCCACCACCACGCTCGTCCTCCCCACCATCACCCTCTCCAGTGCTTCTTGCACCACCTTCTCCGATTGGCTGTCCAGCGCGCTCGTCGCCTCGTCTAATAGCAACACCGTTGGGTTCTTCAAAATCGCCCTAGCGAGCGCTATCCTCTGCTTCTGCCCTCCCGATAGCTGCACACCTCTGTCCCCACACGACGTGTCGTATCCGTCCTTCAGGCTTCCTACGAAATCATGAGCGTTCGCTGCTCTCGCTGCTTCTATGATCTCCGCTTCACCTACCTTATCCGACGCTCCGTATGCGATGTTCTCTCTTATGGTCCCACTGAATAACGTGGGCTCTTGACTCACCAATGCTATATGCTCCCTGAGTGCTCTGAGTTGATACGACCTTATGTCTTTGCCGTCGATGGTCACTGTTCCTTTCAGCGGGTCATAGAATCGCTCTATTAACCCGATAATGGTTGATTTGCCAGACCCGCTTTGGCCAACTAGTGCTGTTGATTTCCCAGCATCGATTCTGAGGGAAAATCCTTCAAAGATCATCACGTCGGGCCTAGCTGGGTACGCAAAATGAACATCACGGAGTTCGATCTGCCCCGTTATCTTCTCAGGCTTGTACCCATCTGGGTCTTGGGGTTCAATTTGAGTGTATTTGTCTAGGACTGCAAAAACAGAGCCCACTGAGTCGGCACCCTTAGCAAGGTCCGAAGTCATACTTCCGGCATCAGCAATAACTCGTCCAGTGCTGACCAAGATCATGAAGGTCTCGAACAGTGCTTTGGCAGTGATGTAACCTTGGGAGATAAGCTTGCCGCCATACCAAAAGTCTAAAGCCCAAGTACAAGACATAAGGCCTTGGGAAGATCCGAGGCCTATACCTGCGTACCAGGATTGACGTATACTCTCTTGGCTCGGGCCTTCTTGAGCGTTTTGGAGCATTTTCAATATGCGATCTTGTGAAGAGAAGGCAGTGACGGTCCGAAGATTTGAAACCGCTTCGGCAGCTAACTTGCTGCTTTCCTCTTGGGCTTTGATGGCTTTGCTAGACATGCTCTTGAGAAGGACCCGCCTTGTGTAATAGCAAGCGATGATAAGAGGCTGAATGGCTATCATAACAATGGCCAGCCTCCATGCAATGACCAGCCCCATTGTGCAGGCTATTGTCACTGCCGAACAAGTTTGTACCAGTAGAGCCATTCTATCCCCCACCAAGGACCTCACCTGTAAATTAAATATGCAATCGTAAAATAAACATGCATTGCACTTGGTATGTTCAAAAAGTTTCCTCTTATATAAGATTCGATGTCGGTATAGGAAGATCATGAGAGAGCTAGAAAAACTTACCACATTGGCGTCTTTGGCGAGTCGAGAGCAAATAGCACCGCTGGAATTTTCGTCCTGATCGAACCATCCGACTTCAAACGTGAGAATTTTGGAGAGCATTCTCTCTCTAACCCTTTTGGTCAGGTACTCTCCCATGTAAGCAAAATAATAATGCTGGCTTATATTAATAAGTAAAGAGAAGATAGCCAACCCCAAAAAGCAGAGAACATAAGTTCTCGTCTTCTTTTTTATCTCATCGTGGTCCGTCAAGAAATACACAGATACCATAGAACCCATTGCGAATGCATACAATGGCTGAACCGCACCAAAGAGAATAGCACTTATACACCCCATAGTTGCCTGCTTCCACTCTGGGAGATTAAGAGCCAACAATCTCCGAAAAGAAGGAACAGGGAATTTCTGTTCTTCTGTAACATGATGGCCATCGTCTTCATCAGCAACCGAAGCTGGATTCCGTGCCATTGAATTAGCAGAGCTAGAACGACTCACCAGGGAAAGCCTACGGCTACTAGTGTTGTTCATGTCCCTGTTTGATATAGACGACGGGGCAGAGACAGTATCTTCTTGTTGGGTTTTGAATTGTTCTGTCTGCTGAAGACGAACCAAAGATGTGTAATGGCCATCGTCGTTCTGCATGAGCTCGTCGTGCGAGCCCATCTCCATGATCTTTCCGTTCTGGACGACGGCAATGACGTCGGCGTTTCGGATGGTGGATAAACGGTGAGCGATGATGATTGTGGTGCGACCCACGGCTGCTTTGTCCAGAGCTTCTTGAACAACTCGCTCTGATTCAGAATCTAATGCACTGGTTGCTTCATCTAGCAGAAGCAGTCTCGGTTTCTTTATTATTGCTCGCGCAATGGCGATCCTCTGCTTTTGGCCCCCTGACATTTGAATTCCTCTTTCGCCTACCTGTACATGTAATTAAACTCAATTACAAACTTTAGCCATCCACAGCAGATAGGACCAGTTCTTTTTCAATTGGCAATGTAAAATGTGAACATGATTTACATAATACGATGGGGCCAAAATATAATCGATCATTGAGTCATTTTAGGGGTGAAATGTGAGTGCGTGTTTGAAAGTTATAACAAGACAGCGTGTTTTTTCATTTGCTCAAGGAAATGAGCTGCCTAACATAACAATTCAGGTTTGTATGTCGCTACCTAGTTTGGAAAATGATAATAATGATAAAGGGTGTGTGGGGTCTCGTCCAAAAATAAGAAGCCATCTGGGGAAGTTTCGTTGCTGTGATGGATTAATCTATTACATGCTTACGTGATTTGCATGGTAAAAGGAGGCAACTAAAATAACAAATTAGTTTGGATTGAAGTCAACCACTGATGTCGTTGGGTAGTTAATTTCTTGTTTTCTTAAAGGACTTCGCTACTTAGTGTGTCCATTGGAGTATGATAAATTATCATATATGAGTCTCTCATTGAACTAATTACTTTGATTTATAATTGTTTTATAAATGCAATGCAGAAGTTTGACAGCAAAACGACTAGGGTAAAGATGCCGTATGGAGATTTTGCAAGAACAATGAGGCAGTCTTTTGTAACCAGAATTTTAAAAAATAAAATAAAATAGGGAGATTCCTTGTGTGTGTGGACGACCAAATTATAAGGGGAGAGATGATATGAAATGATACCATCAGGGCAGAGAATATTACTTTTTCTTTTGTCTGGAGGAATACAGGAAAAGGGCACTTTTTGGGTTTATCATCAGACTCAGGGCCTGTTTGGGTATCTCCAAACCGTGGTTTCAGAAGCACTTTTCCGCAAAACGAGATAATCTCCTCCACATATTACTACTTCGTAATCCGTAAAAGCACTTCTGAAACTATGGTTTGGTTTCTATCCAAACACAACCTCAATTATATAGCAACAGTATGAGGAACAGGAGGATTTAATAACTTTACTGATTTGAACATGATTAACCTAATAAATGATCATCACCAACTGTTCCGAAGATTCCATACTTTCCAGGGAAATTGTTCAGAAAGAGGGTCAAGTGAAGGTACCTGAGTATCGTACCCCTGAGGCAGGTGGGAAATGAAATTATGCGCATTAGAAGCTTTGCCAGCTTCAATGACCTCTTCCATGGAAGCATCTTCCTTTCCAAAGAGAACGTTCTCCTTGATGCTGGTGGCGAACAGAGCAGGCTCTTGGCTGACCAGACCCATCTGTGACCTCAGCCACTTGAGCTGCATCTTGTGAATGGGCACACCATCCAGCCTTATCTCTCCCACAAGTGGGTCATAAAATCTCTGCAAAAGTGATATCACTGTTGATTTTCCTGATCCACTCCCACCCACTAAGGCCATCGTCTTCCCAGCTGGAACCTTCAGGCAGAAATCGTTCAGGATTATGCTTCCTCTTCTGGATGGGTACGCGAATTGTACGTGATCGAATTCCACTTCCCCTGAAACGCTCTCCAGGATCTCCCCACTCATGTTGTCCGAATCAATCTTCGGCACTCTTTTGATCACCTCCATTATGCGTTCCCCTGCCGTACTCGCGTCAGAGAAGTACTTCATGTTCGATAAAGCCGCCCCTAAAGATCTGTTTCAGCAAAACAACAAAACCAAACCCAACAAAATATCATTGCATTAGTGAATGGTGTGAGTTCATCACACACAAATCTTCAACATCTGTTTTTCCCTAGAAAGAAAGAATGATTAGTTAATCATTTTCTCATACATCTTTTAGGACTCCTTCCCCATCTCATTAAAGTAAACCAGGTCAATAATAGAGCTTCACTGAACCATGTCATTGGTGACCTTTACAAAAAAGTATCCATATAATTGTCAGAGATTTTTAATGATTAATTCAGTTTACGTTATTTCTTATTTTTTTTCCCCTTAAAAAAATTATTGATGAGAGAGGTAAGAGATGGGCGGAATTACAGGCCACCAACGGCAATGGCAGCTCCGACAGCGAAAACGGTACCGCCTTGAGCGCCGTGGTACATGACGAGGGTGCTGCCGTAAAAAGACATGAAGGACCAGATGGCGAAGACGATGCCGTTGCTTCCGATGGCTAAGCCCTTAGCTAAGCCCTGCTTGAGCCCCAATTTAACAGATCCTTGTAAAGCTTCAGAGAAAGCAGCTATGGTCTTGCTTTCTCCCACGAAGGAATACACAGTTCTTATGGAAGATATCGCCTGCTCGGCTACTGTACCGGCGTGATTATACTCCTCTCTGATCTTCCTCGCCAACCCCATTAGAGTCCTTCCGTAGAGTAAACCAGGGATCACGAGCAGCACCACGAATGGGAACCCCACAATAGCCAGCCTCCATAACATCGCGAAAGCCGCTACGTAGCTCCCGATGAACATAAACACGTTCATCAAGAAGTTTGGCACCTACAATTTTCAAAGGAAGCCGTCAAAGTTCTTAAAATCCGAAGAGATCTTCTTGCCAGTTGTTATTAATTTTCTGAGTTACCTTCTCAGCAATAGCATCTTGAATTACAAGGCTGTCGTTGGAGACGCTGGTGATCACCTCCGACGTGCTCGTCACGTGCAGATCAAAGTAAGCAACATCCTGTCTGAGCACCGCTTTCAAATACCTAGCTCTCATTCTGGCAGCTTGCCTTTCCCCTGTTCTGGTCCAGCAATACCCCTCTGAAATCGCCACAGTACAACACAGTCACTTCTCGGCCATCCAAAAAACCATGAGTACTAGAGAGGGATCTAACACTCAAAACTCACAAATATAAACTCACCGAGGAAGCAAGTGAGGAATGAGCCAGCAGCCAAATATAGCAGGGCCACCGCATTCTGCAACTCAAAAAAAAAAGGAGTAAGAGACGGATAAAGAGATATACGGAAACAGAGATATATGTACATGTATGTTCGTAAAGATAAACCAGACCTTATTAATGGAATTTGTAAAAGCATTCGGATCGATGGTAGGACCAGAGCCTATATTGTTCATCAAGCGGCTACTGATGAGAAGGACGAGAGGAGTGGTGAAACCGTCGCCGAGGGACCCAACAAGGCCAAGGACCATGAGGAACCAATCTAACATATCGGCGTGCATGAAAATGGATCGAAAGGACCCATTCTTCTTCTTCTTGGGAGCCACTGAAGATGCAGCCACACTTGTTTCCTGATCCCCCTCCATAATTTCCCCCCACAACAACTGACCAATTTGTTCTTGGGAACAAACCAGGAAGTGCGTGACTAAAGATTCGCCCAACAGTTCTGCGTAGGCTTCCTCTGGAAAATAGCTTGGTGTGTTTGAACAAACAAGGTGACCTACAAGCAAATTTTTAGTGTCGCGCTGGTTATTTATAGGAATCAGTGCGCGCGCGCCCGTGTAAACTTGAGGGGCCAGGGCAAAGCGCTGCAACCAGTACCAGACCCTGGAAAACAAAATATATAAGTTGCTCTCTTACTTTTCATTTGAAATTTTTTTTATTAATTCATTTAAATTTAAATATTACTCCTTTTACTGCTTATGCAATTTTTTATTTTCAAAATTCAAATTTAATGTTATTACCGACGATAAAATTCTAGTTTATTTTAAAGTTAAAAAGGGAATCTTTTTTTATCTAATTTTATGTTTGTTGTATCTACATATATATATATATGTGTGTTGAATTATAAGAAATTTATTTACGTATGTGATTTTGTGAACATAAAAAGGGGATGTGTGTGTGTGTGATCAGTGTAAAATATAGAAAATATGATAACGTGCATTGCTTATAAGTTATGAGTAGCATGATTTGTTTTTAAAAATGTTATACAATACTTAATAAGCCGATCATTAACTATCCTTATACTACATTCCGTTCTAAATATAACATATTATATTCAGGACCTGAGGTAGTATTAATTATTTTCATAAGAAGATAAAGAATAGCCAGACTATTAGAATATTTTTCTAAAGTTAGTCATTAGTTAAAATATTGTCACAAGTTAACTAGGTTCAGTTTGCTGAATTATGTCTACCTTAAGTAGGTCTCAAGTGTGGCTCAAACTCAACCACATATATGCAGAATTTTTATTTCCACTGGGACCTGAAATTCATGTATTAATTTGTACAGACTTCCGACTTGGTTCTTCGTATTTTACACCGAATGTTCTAGCTGTTCTGCCCATGAGTACTGTTTAATTTAATGGATTCAAGTTTATAGGTTAACTTTAACTAACATGAGTGTAATTAAATAGTTTGAGTCCCTACATAGACGCAAGCATACGAAGAGATCACTCTAAATTATATTCTTAATATAAGATTTAGTTGAGTAATTTGTGAATATTAATAAAACTAAATAAATTACTTAATTGTAGCATATGTTATATGATTTCTCTTAAATACTTATATATATTACTAGATTATATATTACTACCTTCGATTCTTAATATAAGAGCTCATTTGACTTTTAATTTGGTCCTAAATATAAGACCCTAACCTATCTTGTCTCTCATATTCATCTATTTTTTTCAACATAATTTTTATAATAATGATAGTTCTAATTAATACACTTGATTAGCAAGATATTTTATAAAAGACAATACTTATTTATTACAAATAATTAACTTAACTAATTTTCTTAATCTACTCAAATTAGTCAATTAGTTATTATATTAAGGATCGAAGGTAGTAGTTTATAAGCTAGACAAATCAATTTAAAAAAATATAAATACTTTTAAGTAATTTACTACCTCAATTCCTAATTATAAGAGCTAGTTGACTAATTTGAGGAGATTAAGGAAAGAAGTTAAGTTAGTTATTTATAATAAATATGTGTTGTCTTTCTTAAAATATCCTTGCTAATCAAGTATATTGGTTAGAAATATTATTGTTAGAAGGACTACTTTGAAAAAAAAAAACATAAATATGATAGATAAAATGAATTGGGGTTTTATATTTATGATCAAAATAAAAGTCAAACAATGTCTTATATTAAATATCGGAGGTAGTATTTAGTTTTTTTAAAATATCCTTAAATTAATCAACTGACTGTTATATTGAGAAGACGGGTTGATATATATATATAACATCAATCTGATTTTCACTCTCAAAAAAACAACGAAAATTGTCGGGTTGGATCAGCAGCTGGATATACAACTGAGATGGACTATAGGGGTCACAAATATAGTGGGACGGAAATTCGGTATAGTTATTTATATGTGTTAATTTTTTCATGGAGACGCTAGAATTCAATTTTACCAAGTTCTATTAAAAAAAAATCTTCAGATTTGATTTTCAATAAAATATAATTGATGGTTGCTTTTTACAAGGAATTGAAATAGGAGGCGTCAAATTGACATGTACTACTCCCTCTACTTCTATATAAATATATAAACTTAGATCCACTTTGTTTCTACCCCTTAATAGGTTTTTTTTTTACATTATTCTAATTAATTTAGCGGTTTTTCTCACATGTATTACCCTTGTTCAACGAGAGATGTTTTATAAAAAGTGACACACAATTTTTGTACTCTATTTTAGAATTAAATAACTTTTCAATCTTGAAAAACAATGAATTAGAGATAAAATTTTATATTTATATAATAAATTTGACGAGATCATTTATATTGAAAGTTAAAAAAAGATATCTTTCTCTCTCGTCCTGTTCTTTAGACAGAACCAGCAGATTAACCAGCATTTATTTTTAGCCTCTATCTATGGGGTCAAAGTGAGCAGTACTATTTACTTGGGCTTCAAGTTGAGAAAGTCTAAACACGTGAGGTAGAGAGGCCTTATATTAATTAAATAGTGGCATGCAGCTTCGTGTGTGGTGCGAGTGCGAGGAGGAAGAGAAGCTAGCTATGATGTTTGACTCCGCAAAATCGTCATTAGTGACGAAAGTTTGGTATTCAAGAACCCTCCAGAGCTAACAAGCTGGAATTTTTTTAACATTATCAGCAGAACCGTTCGAATAATTTATTAATGTATAGAACTATAGACAGTTAGGCGGATTTTATATACATTGATTTATATAAATCTCAATGTCAGACTTTAATATTTAAAAAAAAAATGCTCCAATTTCTGAGTCATGTGCAGGCCTGCCTAAATATTTTGGTATTCCAATGAGCTAAACGGCTAATATGTTCCTGTCAATTTATCGGGCCAAAAAAAAATGTTCCTTTCATTTTAATTGATAAGGTGTTTTTGGAGTAAATTATAAATAATAAATACCAATATGCTTCATCGAATACAGCTAAAAATCTTAATTTTCTTAAGAAAGAGGTAAACTTTTAGAAATGCCTTTTAATTTACTCCTCCGGTCCTTATTATAATACCCAATTTGACTTTTTATTTGGTCCTAATTATGAGACCCAATCCATTTTGTCTCTTATATTTATGTATTTTTTTTCAAGATAATCCTTCTAATAATGATAGTTTTAGCCAATATACTTAATTAGCAAGGATATTTTAGGAATGACAACACTTATTTATTATAAATAACCAACTTAACTTACTTCCTTAATCTCCTCAAATAAGTCAATTGGGTCTTATAATTAGGACCGGAGGAGTATTTAACACTAACTCCTAATTAATTTACACTTCATTAATGAAGGATATTATTCTTGAAATAAAGTCGTGAATAAATTATTGTTTTCTTCAAAACATCCTATATTATGAGACATGATATGTTGTTCCAAAATTGTCTTATAAATAATCAAAATGGAAAGAGTAATATAGAGTATATTAAAGGGGGGAAAAGGTGGAATGGTCGGCTACTAGTTCAATTCAACTGTATTTCGATGCTTTATTTTGGGGAGAGGAACCACACCTTTCTTATAAAATTCAAGCGTGGAAAGACAGAATATTTAAAACAGTTTATTGGAGTATGATCTAACTATATACAGGCATTAATTCGGAATAACTTTACAGGCTAAATAAAATTTTACGATTCTCAAAAATAGTTCAAGGTTCCTTCTTTTTTTGGGCAAACAGTTGAAGGTTCCTTTGTCCACTTCATCAACACGCGAAAATTATAAAATTTATATTATACAGCTAACCATAACATCTAAATATGGAACCTTACTGCATAAAATATAAAAGCATGCATTCGACGGTGATATTAGAATAAGGAATGCACCAATCATTCGTATGTTTATTCAAAATTTTAAATAGATCATAGCCGGAAGAATTTTAGTTTAAAAATGAGGACTATTTTTATCAGTGTTTCCAGATATAATATCACATTTTCTAACATTATTTCCTCGAATTATTTACCATCTTCGAGACCCATGCTATACCAGTGAGTGGCCCCTAAGGAAAAGTAAACACAAAATTGGTTGATTTTATCCGAATTATTCAGATACAGATATCAAGAGTATCTTTTTATCCAATCATAAAAGCATGTCGTGGTTTAATCCTTTTCAAGACAATGTAGCATGAGGGACAAAGTAAATTGACTTGTCCAAGATATATATCGTTTTCTTTGATCTGAACTTCATTCCTATACGCACACCACCTCTAATTTTTAATATAAGAATTAGTTGACTGATTTAAATATATTAAAAAAATTTGCTAAGTTATGTTAGTTATGTGTAATAGGTAGATTTTTTTTAAATATTCTTACTAATCATATGTATTAACTAAAACTACCATTTCATAAAATCTTTAACATGTGTAATAATTACAAGGACTATTTAAAAAAATAAATAAATATGAGAAACAAAGTAGATTGAGATTTTATATTTAAGATCAAATTAAAAAACAAACTTTTATACTACCTCCGTTCCTTATTATAAGAGCTTGTTTGGCTTTCAATTTGATCATAAGTATAATATCTCAATCCATTTTGTCTTTTATATATTCTTTTTTTTTCAAAGTAGTCATTGTAGTAGTTGTATATGTTAAAATTTTTATGAAATAGTAATTATAACTAATATACATAATTAATAAGAGTATTTAGAAAAAACAATACTTATTTATAACATGTTAAAAATCAGAGATAATATTAAAGACAGGAGGTATGGTATATATACGTGTGCGCCCCCCTGCGAATACACAGTTATACGGTACACAAGAGGAAGAATGTGTGTGTGGAGAACCTGATGAGGAATCGGCTATTTTCAAGTCAAGAAGAAAAGAAAATGACAGAACTCTTCAAGAGGATGCCTACTTCAGATTGCGAATCCAGGCCTAAACCAAAGACCCGAGACACAGTGGCTGACACGAATCTCGTGATAAACTAATTCAATTAAGCTTCAGAGGTCTTGTTGCTCTTTCCAGCTGGGTATATTATATTATATTTCTCCAATATAAACAACTTTTCCCCTTTTCCTGTTCATCAATAATACAGTAA